TGAACAGGAAAAAAAGGCAAAAAGATAGAAATTACCAAAATGAGGGATGAAGAGTCGACATTTTTACAGACATTAAAATGAGGGTCCGGCCCAGTGGCATAGTGGTTAAGTTCACCAGCTCCACTTCAGTGGCCCAGGGTTCGCAGGTTCCGATCCTGGGCGTGAACCTACGCACTGCTTATCAAGCCATGCTGTGGCAGGCATCCTACATATAAAGTAGAGGAAGATGGGCAGGGATGTTAGCCCAGGGCCAATCTTCCCCTTTTTGCTGAGAAAGATTGGCAACAGATGTTAGCTTAGGGCTAATCTTCCTCACCAAAAGAAAAAAAAAAATTATGTATAACTTTATGCTAATAAATTTGACAAGTTAGAGGAAATAGACAAATTCCTTGAAGGATACAAACTATCAAATAGCAAAGGTCACTCAAAAAGAAAGAGATAAGCTGAAAAACTCTACATCTATTAAAGAAATTGAATTTATTATAGTTAAAAACCTTCCCACAAGAAAGCTTTATGTCTAAATGGCTTCACTGGCGAGAGTTCTAGCAAACATTTCAGGAAGAAATAGTAAAATTCTATGCTGACTTTTCCCAAAAATTGAAGAGGAGGGAACACATCCCAACTCATTTTATTAAGCTAGCATTATGCCCAGACAGCCACTACAAGAAAAGAAAAATTAAAGACCAATGTCCGTTATGAGTATAGACAGAAATGCTTATCAAAATATTAGCAAATAGAACTCAGCAGTATATACAACGTGTAATACATCATGACTGAGTGGGGTTTATTTCAGAAATGCAAAACTAGCTTTAAAAACAATCAATCAATATAATTTACAGACTAAAAGAGAAAAGCTGTATGATTATCGCAGAAGTTGCAGAAAAAGCATATGACAGAATTAAACATCCATTTATGATTTTAAAAAAAACCAACTCTGCAAATTGAAAATATAAGTAAGATTCCTCAACCTCATAAAGGGAATTTATGAAATACCTACAGCTAACAGGTAAGATTGGCAACAAGGCAAAGATGTCTGCCCTCACCACTTTTATTCAGCATTTTACTGGAGGTCCTAGCCAGTGTATTAAGTCAAGGAAAATAAATAAAAGATGTGCAGATTGGAAAGAAAGAAATACAGATGTTATTCTCAGACAACGTGGGTTGTCTTTGTAGAAAATCCTAAGGAATCTACATTGAGATGATACTAGAATTAATAAGTGAGTTTAGCTAGGTTGTAGGATACATGGACAATATAAAACAATCATTTGTATTTCTATATACTAGCAACAAACAATTGTAAAATGGAAAAAAGGCCATTTACAATGCACCAAAAAACATGAAACACTTAAGGATAAATTTAACAAAATATGTGTAAGAGCCAGTCAGTTGAAGTACAAAACATTGTTGAGATAAATAAGTAGAGAAATTCATCTTTAAATGAAAGGAGGGCAGTTCTCCATGGGTCTTTACATTTCTCCACCTCTTGCAAGTGAGGCATGACAGCCTTTTTAAGTGATCTTTTCCGGGATGTTTGTATAGCACACAGCCTTAGATGAGAGTTAGTGACGCCTGCTGTAGAAAAGGGCAGATTCGCTTATTGTCCAGTAAAATAAAGATAACATCTCCCTTTGGACAAAGGGCAAGTGTGCTTCAGTCCATTATGAATGATTCAGGTTCCCTAAGTTCAGAGTTCCTCTGTGATGCAAACCCACTGCCTGCACAGCATCTCTCCGGGCCTTTCCATGTCTGCCCTGTGGGACTTGGGAGCAGCAGGGGAACTGATACACACATGATGCTTGTGTTCCTTGCTGTGCTGTGAGTAGTAAGTCCTGTGATTCTGACCTAGGACTACTCTGTTGTCTGTCAGTATCATGAAACAGTAACAGGCTACTTTGTTAGCTTGCAAGAAGGGTCTTAATTCCCAGACCCTTCACAGTTCTTGACAGTTTTGACCATAAGGATGGAGTGCCGACAGAGACATGGTTTTCTGAAAGATGAAGGCTGACCTTGAGGGCTGGGTTAGGGGATGTGAAAAGACTCTTTGGCATCTGGTAATGAATGCTCTGACCCAAGTGGTGGGCAAGGGTAAGGGGAAAGTAAAAGTCTTTAAGTGTTCTACCTCTTAATGAAATCTAGGGGCTGAGCTGAGAAGTAGTCTGAATGGTGCTTTGGTTCTTGTACACTCAACTCGATGGCCCCAGCTGAAAGGCAGTGTGGCTGTAGCTGCTGAGACAAGGAGTCCCCAAAGCTGAGAAAATGGTGTCAGAAATGAGGATACAGAGCCTTGGGTGGATTGAAAACATTAGAAGTTTGTTTAGTTGAGCTGCAAGTGTGGGTGCTTGAAACTGAAAGTAAGTGCACTATCAGGCCACTATCTCCCTCCGTGGCCTGACCTCTCCCTCCTCCTACACCTTGACTTCAGATGCTTTAAGGAGAAAGAGGAATAGGGCTTGGGCTGAGGTCTCCCTGTCCTTAAAGGGGACCAAAGGCCATACCCACATGTCTAAATATGCTGGGGGAACTTCAAGGAGAGGAGAGAGTCAAACTTTATGGTTCTGTTGGATACGGGCACCCAAGTCATCATCCTGCTTTGTTCTGTGGGGGATGGAGTGTTCAGATTCAGCTGATGGGGCTTGTGCAAGGTTTGCAGTAGGGAAGGGAAGCCAGTGTGGCCTTGTGGGTGGGGCCCTTTGTTGTTGTGGCTTCCACTGCTGAAGATATAATTGGTGTTGATGTTTATACCCGGCTGTGCTGTAAATGACCAGAAGTGCCAGAGAGGATTCTCCTGATCAGGAAGAGCTGCGTGTAGAGAAGTGCTGGTACTTTGAGGTCCCCAAAGCTAATGATTCCTTTGAGCTGCAAGTATTGTGACTGATGATTTTGCAGTATATATAAAGAACTCATCCAATTCAATAAGAAGACCAAAAAAACCCAGTATTTTAAAAAAATGGCAAAAGACTTTAACAGGCACTTTTCAAAAGGAGATATACAAATAGACAATAGCGTATGAAAAGATGCTCAACATCATTAGTCATCTGGGAATTGCAAATTAAAACCACAATGAGGTATCACTTCACACTCACTAGAATGGCTAAAATTAAAAAGGCCAACAAGACTAATCATTGGTGAGGATGTGGAGCAGCTGGCACTTTCATGCATTGCTGGTAGGTGTGCAAAATGGTACAGCCAAGTTGGGAAATAGTTTAGCAGTTTCATGCCAAGTTAAAGATAAACTTACCTTATGACCCAACAAGTCCATTTCTAGGTATTTATTCAAAAGAAATGAAAATATGTATCCATAAAAAAGTTGAACTTGAATGTTCATAGCATTATTGTCCATAATAGTCCCAAACTGGAAACAATCCAAATGTCCATCCCCAGGTGAATGGATAAACAAATTATAGTAGATTCATACAATGGAATATTACTCAGCAATAAAAAGGAACAGAACCACTACTAAGTGCAAGAATAAAGATAAATCTCAAAAAACATGATGAAGGAAAAAGTTCATACTATATATTCCCTTATGTCGTGAGTACATAAAATATGATTCTGTTTATATGAAGTTCTAGAATAGGCAAAAAGACAAAACTAATCTATGGTGATATAACAGATCAGTGGTTGTGTACGGTGGGATTTTGGGATAGGGGATTGACTGTAAAGGAGTAGATTTATTTTTTTTCATTTTAAAATACCAGTGGTAGAAATTTAAGACAATAGAATTGTGATTAAAATTATGACCTTCGATATCATAAAACATATCCTGAGTTTGAGTTCCAGCTCTACCATATACTAGCTATGTGATCGTGGGCAAATTATTTAACCTTTCTAAGTTTCCTCGTCTGTAAAATGGGAGTGATAATGATACCATCTCAGAGTTGTCAAGATAAATTAAATTATGCCATCACTGGTAGATAGTAAGCACTCAGTAATGGTGATTAATTTTGGCAACATTAGTATTTGTCAATGCTATTAATTATAGTTTACTAGTCATGTCTGTTACTGTTAATCTCAGAATGGGTATTGCATTTTTATATTTTTTAAAAAGAGAAGAGAATTACTGATTAGATTCCTATGGATCTTTGATGTTCTCTGGGCAAATAACTTATTGCTATTTAGTCAGTCATAAACATGATGTACTGTCTTTAATATGGGAAGATAATGGTACTGACTCTCTTATTAGAAGTTCTGCATGACCTTGGGCTGAAAGGATCACAGTTCTGATTTGTTCATAATCTGCTTTATTATTATTACCATTTTTTTTTCCTTTATGGGGACTTTCCTTTATGGGGACTCTTAAATGGTTTCCTTTTTGACATTTTAAATGGCTGAGGAGGATCTGAGAATCTTCTTTCCAAATAAAGATTTCTTTGGTATGAAGCTCATTGGTCAAACTTGGGCCAGATAAGCCATTTGATCTGCAGTTGCTGAGATGGATTACGCTAGAAATTCCTTTAACATTAAATTGAGTATTTATTGTATTTTTATAAATGGTGTAGTACCCTCGTTTTAGGACCTAGCTCACTGGAGATTTGAAGATATATTCCAATATCTGTTTAGATTTAAATCTTTATTTCCTTGTGTGAATCAGCAGTTTTCAAGTCTGTCAATAGGAAAAAAAAAACAAACATAACTGGGAAGAAATATGATGATCAGTCATGTCAAGGATTAAAAAGTTTTATGAGTGGGCATTGGAAAGAGAGTTTCCTGTAATTATGTGACTTAGTGTTGCCTGAAAGTAGTATACTTTTGGGTTGAAACATGGCGAATGAAAATGTTTGCTGCTAGTTTTGTGTCTCATATGACTTATATTCCAGATTCTTGAACGTTGAGGATGTGTTAAAATGGTTTAACCCAAATATGCATCAGGAATATCCTTCATTCACTTATGCATCAATAAGAAATTATTTTGTCATTTGCATTTTTCTTGAATAATTTTTTCTTCTCTTAAATCTGTTTTGAAACCTAATAATTTCTTCATTTTTCCACTTTTATTTCAGCACCTGATCAACTTTCTAGCAGGAGAACGATCATGGAGGTGGTGCCAGCTGAGGTGAATAGTTTGCTTCCAGAGGAGATAATGGACACTGGTATAACTTTAGTGGATGATGATAGTATTGAGGCTGTTATTGTTTCGTCCCCAATTCCCATGGAGACAGAACTGGAAGAAATTGTCAACATAAATTCTACTGGTGATTCTACAGCCACGCCCATTTCCACGGAACCAATCACAGTGTACAGTAACCACACTAACCAAGTTGCAGTGAATACCACAATTACTAAAGCAGATTCTAATACCACAGTGAAACCAGCTTTTCCAAGTGGCCTTCAAAAACTTGGTGCTCAGACTCCTGTGACTATATCAGCCAATCAGATTATTTTAAACAAAGTATCGCAGACATCTGATCTTAAACTTGGCAATCAGACCCTTAAACCAGATGGACAGAAGTTAATTTTAACAACTTTGGGCAAGTCTGGTTCACCAATTGTTTTAGCACTACCCCATAGCCAACTACCCCAGGCTCAGAAAGTTACAACTCAGGCCCAGTCAGGAGATGCTAAGTTACCACCGCAGCAAATTAAAGTAGTTACCATTGGAGGGAGGCCAGAGGTGAAACCTGTCATTGGTGTCTCAGCATTGACCCCAGGAAGTCAACTGATTAATACTACAACTCAGCCCTCTGTGTTACAGACCCAACAGTTAAAAACAGTACAGGTAAAAAAAAAAGGGGGCTTATTAATTAAAATGCATGTTAAAAATTAAACTGGTTTGTAGTTGTGTTTGTAGGGTGATAAAATGCATAGTTGTTACTGAATTCTTTTGAATGTTGCTTTTAGTAATTGTGTGGTTTTTTGTAAAGTTTGATATGTCTAATGCTTTTGAAAATTTTTGCTGGAGAACTTAGAACTTAATTTTGGTTAAATTCCAAATTGTTGTATTTATAGCTTTTTACTCATTTTTAAATGCATTTTATTCTTAGTAGTAGTTTGATTACAAGGATGTTCTGCTGGTGTAAAGATGCTAGAGTTGCTGCTGGGCTGTCAATCATTCAGACATGATTTTTTTCAGTTAACAGATGGCCAAAGTCTAGGAAAACTTGCTGCTCTGAGAAACTCTTGGAGCAAGCAGTCGTGCATACTGGCCAGTGTGTGCCTCTTCTTTGGAGTTTACTGTCCATTGCCGTCACTCATGTTTGCAGTGTGGAAAAGGCAGTGCCATGTGGTGGAGGGTAACATCTAGACTTTCGAGTTGGACCAGCTGGATTCGAGTCGCCTCTGTGCTACCCTCCCAGCTGTGGGACTTTGGATAGGTTACTTATCTTCTCTTAGTTTTTGACGTTAGCTGTAAGATGGCTGTTTGATCATGATGAAACACATAGGAAAAGATAAGTATGTACTTGGTATAGTTCTCAAAACATAGAGGATCTTCAAAATAGTACCTATTATTAGTATGAATGGGACCCTAAGATAGAAGGTTACCAGAACATAGATTAAATAGTCCCCAGTTTTCATGCCCAGATAGGCCCTTCTAAGTCACCACTACTCTTAGAAGTACAATGATCCACTTAAGATCAGGGACCACAAACACATGCCCTGTTTGGAAGAGTCGCCTTTTAGAAAAAGAGAGAAGGCATGAGTTGGAGAACGAAAGCAGGTATATAAGGAAGTCGAAGGTTTGGAGAACTATCCATTCTCAGCTGATATTAGAAATAATGTTTTGGTTATTATGTTGGCAAAATAATTAGAAACTTATTTTTCGTGGGCTTTTTGTTTGAGAACTTCATAAGATTTCTGAAACGTTGTAATTTTCCCATGTCCCTTCTGCCACTGTTAAACATTTGGTGCTCTTTTCTCTCTTGTTAATTATCATCTCTTACTTACCTTTGACTTCATTTTACTTCTGATGAGGATCTCTTGAATGAGATATCCTATTGCCATCAAGCATCTTTCTTGTCTTCAGCTTTTTTTTTAAATCAGTTTTGAAACTGGTTTTTGTTGGTTTACAAGAGTTTATCTGGCTTTGGGGATGTAGATTCTAACCATGTTCATAAGAAACTGGCAATGTAAATCAGAATGTCATTTTTTTCGTTTATAAGAGCAATGTATACACACTGTTTCAATGACCAGTTTACTTGTATCCACTAGTTTTCTACTATAATCTCGTAAGTACTGACAATAAAAACAAAGACTGGGGTCTAATTCTTATAACTTCCTTTATTGTTGTTACTTTTATAAAACCTGATTCTATTTATTAAAAAACAACTTCTATTTGTAAAAAAACAATAACAAAAACAAAAGAAACCCCATTTAGAATATTGTTCTACTTGTCCAGTTATTTTTAGGCAACTCAAATCTTTCCAACACAAAAGTAACCTACAAAGTTCTGAGGCACAGAAAAAACAAATAAAAAGCTACACATCTGTATGTTTCCTTCTTAGGCACCAGAATATCTGGTTTAGTATTACACAGTGTATATTGTCCTCTGGTTTTTTTTCTAGACAGTTCTCAGCATTGTCTTAAGTTTAATCAGAGTATTGAAACTCTTAGGGTATGGACAATAGGTAAGGTGGAAGAAGGAGACCCATTCTGAGAAATGGAAGAAAGAGGTGACAGTTGAGGCCAGAGGCAGTACCAAAGAGGTAAAGTTACACTTGATTACAGATATATAAACACTTTCCCATGTTTCTTGTGCGTAATATATAAGAGTAACAAATAACCAGCAGTCTGGAACAACATAACTCCTTCCTAGATCCTGAATCTGTACACCACGGTGCCAAAAATTACCTGCATGTCTTGTTTGATCACATATTTGGCTATCTTATTTGTAAATTTCCTTTTTTGATTCATTTTTGTCTTATCTGCTGATTACAGAAATTTGTTAAAAATGGTCCTTTATGCTTTGCTTTACTTAATAAAGTAAGTTTGTTCTAAGGTAGTTTAGAATTCATAATGCAAAAATCATGCTTCCTTAACGGAACTGGAAATCATTATTTTCAGCAGTGCTCCACTAAAGAAACATAACTACAAGGGCAAGTTGAGATTGTTCATTTGAATAATTAATGTGCTTTTGGTTGTATTGTTTACATCTTTTTCCTGATTGGTAAGTATTCATATAGTCATATGATTGTGTAAGTCAGTAAAAATGAGGAAATACTTTAAGCTCCTAATCTTTATAGCTAAGATTATTTATTGCGAGACATGGATTTCCAAGAACATCAATGCTTCTACCTCTTGGGATTATTGATACTAAGTCAATAGATGACATATTCTAACTTATTTTAGAGGTTTAGACCTGTAAACACACTTGGGAAATATTTTCTCTGTCTCCCAAATTGCATCAGTTTTTTAAAGTACAATTATGGATTTATTTGGGTGTATCAGAGTTTTGCAAGCTGGGTATTTTTTAATATAGTAATAGATCTGCTTTTTTTTTTTTTAAGTGTTTTACATTTCATTTACATTTTGTTTTGTCAGTAATGTGTGCTGAGTGTAAGAAAGTAATATGTTCATTACATAGTGTAAGAAAATATGTTATTTAGTTTAATTTATAATTTGAGTACAAAGCTGATATTTATCTAGTCTGTGATCTGTTACAGCTTCTGGTGTATTTCTGTCATTCAAGTTGGTCATGTTTATTCATTTTGAGTCATTATTTCCAATAATAAATTGTACTTTCAGGGCCTCAATTTCATATCTGCCAAAAGATAAAATTAATATTTAATGTCCTTCCTGCTTTAAAAGTTTATGATTTTTATCATTAGCTAAAGTTCTGCTTCTAACTTTTAAAAGAAGCTGTGTCTTTGCATACATTGATGATTTCAATATAAAAAATTATATTGTCTTGTCTTGTGGAGAATTTTAGTTCAGGTCAACAGTGTGCCAATATATAACTTGAGGTCAGAGATGAGTAAAATATAGACCCTCCCTTCAAGGAATGTATAGTCTAGTAAACAGTATTTTAGTAAATAATATTTCAGAGGCCTTGCCTTTAGAATAGTCTTTGTTTTGCCAAACTTGTCTTTTTGAGTCCTAGGGCGTTAACTTGTTCAGTTCTTTGTTTATCTGTCCCTGATATCTAGATCTAAAGCTGAAGATCTAGTCATAGTCCTATCTTTAATGTGTATTTACATTTTGCTTCCAGGGGCCAATGTAATTATGTTTATAAGGGGTTCATTATTTGCACTATGCTTTCTTAGCTTACTCTACGCCATCTTTTTATTTTTGAATAATTTGTTATTTTGAGAAGGAATATTGCTGTGCCATAGTGTTTTATTATTGTTAAATATGTTATTAAATAAGCATTATTGTTAAACAATAAATATTATTTTGAAATATTAATTTGGTTTTCATCATATGCATATATCCCAGAGACTAAAATAAGGATTTGCAGTAAAATGCAAAGGTATTACTATATATTGGCTTAAGGTTGTGATCATATTAATATTTTGATGAATGGTTGCATTTTAAATGTTTTTAACATTAATACTTAGATATAGTTTGTTAAATGAGCTAGTTTCACATGTACTTCTGTATATAAATCTTTTGTATAATTTTGATTGAATAGGTGTTTTATAGAAACAAATGGTCTTCATAGTTATTTATATATTTCAGATTGCTAAGAAGTCTCGAACACCAACTTCTGGTCCAGTAATCACGAAGCTGATCTTTGCAAAACCAATTAATAGTAAAGCAGTTACAGGACAGACAACTCAAGTGTCACCACCAGTCGTTGCAGGTTATATTTCTTTATAGTTTATTAAGCTATATATTTATTTTCCTTTTAGGTTTAAAAAAGGTTCTGGCACCTTGAAATGTTTTAGTGCAACGAGTATAGCTTATTATTATAAACCAAACTAGTTAATAAGAAATGTTATACTTATTAACTGTGTGCTTTAAGCAAAATGCCTTATCTCAAAATCAGTCCACTACTTTAGTCTCCTTAGTTTTGGGTATAATTTTACCATGAAAGTAGCAAGGTCTTGAACTCCAGTAATACTAGCTAACACTTACATAGTGTTTGTTATGTGCCCCGCACTGTCCTTAGCTCCTTACGTGCAGTGACTTATATAATCCTCTGGCAATCTTATGAGGTAGGTACTAGTAACAGCCCCTTTTTGCCAGAGTGGAAAGAGGTGCTCAGCAAGTAAATGGCTGAGCTGGGATTTGAACCCAGGCAGTTTGTCTCTAGAGCACATGTGCTAAGTCTAATAGGCTTAAATTAATACACATGAGAGTATAGTATTTCATGGTTTCTGTTTGAATTTTTGGTTTCAGTATTTTACTATGCTCTATATGCAGTTCTCCATGAACAGAAAATTATCACAATGATAGTAATTACTTAAATGATAACAGAATTTTAGCTATATTACTTTTACCAGCAAATTCCTTAGTGTGGCCCAATTCTCTTTTATTATGTACTTTAAAATTTGTCATCACCAATAACTATCCCCTCAGAAATCTTGCCTTCAAATATTTCATTCTCTTTATTATTCTAGTTTACCTGCTTTTGTACTCCCAATCTAGCAGTTCTTTGACTTTGAAATCTCTGATCCATTAGCCTTTCCACTTTCTGGTTAATAATCACCCCCTTCCTGTCTTCAAATTCTTCCCTACTCAACATGGAGTCCATGACCCTTCATTATCGCTCCCCTGCAAACACTGTTGATTCTCTTTCTCCTGTCGCTATAATGGCTTGCTTAAGTCCAGTTCTCTTCTTATTCCTTGCCTGGCGTGCAGCTCAATACTTGTAGAGAAAAGCATACAGCCATGCTAACTGGTCTTTAATTCAGAGCTAAAGTGACATTACACTTTTCACCAGTTAGGAGCTCATTTCTCATTTCTGTTGTGCTGGGGGCTTATGGAAGCACCTCTGGATGGAACAATTTGGCTAGAGACTTTCAAACGCTAATTACCCATTCTTAGAATGTGCATTCTTGATGAGACTATTTCACATGTTAACTAACCATGCCTAGGATATATATTAAAACCACCTACTACTGTCTTTGATAAATTTATAGATTATACAACAGTAGGCAACTCTGAAGTTAGTGGCAGTGATTTATCTTTTACCTGAGGCTTTGAAGGTATGTAGCAAGGCTTCTCATTTCAGCTAGTGAGAGAAGGCATGGAAGGATTGTAGTTTGAGGGCATGTTGGGGGAATGGATGTTCTCTTTCTCTTTTGGCCCTCAGTCGAGATTAGTGATGGTATAGGAAGCTGGTGTCTTGAGGGCTGTCATGGGAGGCAGGTATGGCCCCAGAGGAAAGATTGCACAGTGTTTGGATTTGAAGCTAGTTCAGGAAGTGGGCCTTCAGTTGGCTGAAAGTGAGTAGGGCTTAGATGTATTGATGAAAAAGGGTCCACCGGTCCCCTGGGAGGTTTTGGGTAGGTGGAAGGGGTTAACTAGGAAAAATGTCTCAGTGCAATGTTCTTTACTGTTTTTGAGTTTGAGAGAGTCCCTTAAAATTTTTAGTTATGGGGGAAAATTGTATGCCAAACAACTGTGGTGCTTGCAGAAGTGTCTGAATGAATTTTTGGTTAATGTCAAGATTTCACCTCTCTTACATTTGACGCTAGTGGATGTCATTGCTGGGTCTTCGGGTCATTTGTAATGTGTTGCACACTAATCATAGCTTCACCTTTTAATTACAGATAGACTTATTAGCCCTACCAAAATGCACACTGGCTTTTAATGTTTCTGTTAGTCACACTGTATTGTAATACTGGGTTTTCGTGTCTGTCTCCTCTACTAAATGATTTTTCTTAATGGTGATTTTTTTTGGTTCTGTTTGCCATCTAGTTTTTTTAAATTAATTTTTAAAAAATTGTGATAAAATATACATAACAAAATTGACCGTTTTAACCATTTTTAAGCAGACTCTTTAGTGGCATTGAGTACATTCACGTTGTTTTGCAACCATCCCCACTGTCCATTTCCAGAACTTTTGTTTATCTTTCAAAACTGAATTTCTGTACCCATTAAACAGTAACTCCCCATTCCTACCCACCCACTAGGAGAGACTTTCTGTCTTTATCAATTTGACAACTATACGTGTCTTATATAAGTGGAATCATATAGTATTTGTCCTTTTATGACTGGCTTAAGTCACTCAGCATAGTGTCCTCATGGTTCATCTATGTTATAATGTGTAAAAATTCCTTCCTTTTTGAAGCTGAATAATATTCCATTGTACATATGTACCACATTGATGGTAGTTCTTTTATCTTGTTTATCTCTATCTCTTCAATACCTAGCACAGTTTCTGGCACATAGATGTGGTTCCGTGGATGTGTAATGTTGGATGGATATGGGTATTATGGAGTCAGTGTAGTGGTGTGGGAGGAGCTATTGGGAGTCTTGAGTTTTAGTCATGGCTCTTCCATTGCTTTTCTCTGCGATCTTGGGTAAATATATTATCTGTTCATCTTACTTATTTCTGCAAAGTGTTGATACCAACCACTTCTCAAGACTTTTGAGATGTTAAATGAGATAAAGAGGTCCTCATTATCAGAGTCCTCAAGGTACAAGGTTGCTACAGCGGAGCAAACGTCATCAATGTGGAAATATTCACTAATGAATTAATCTCTTATAGAATTAGTCCTCACTCAGATATGCTAGTTCCCTGCCCCCAGCCTCTTCCATCTGTAGTTTTGGAATTATGTCTCTTGATTTTTGGAGAACACCTGACAGTAGAGTGTAAATGTCTTGCACATTGATTTCAAGGTGAAATTGTATAACTTGCATTCTTGTTTGAATCCGTCTGCGGAGCTAAGGATAAATAGAGGTTTGGAGGTTAGATTAGATAATCAGGAGAAATGCTCTCTGGATGAATAGATAGCCCTTCAAAAAGAATAACTTGAATTTTAAAGGATATAGAGGGTTCTTGGGAAAATTGATGAAAGCCTGAAATATTTTGGTAGAAACAGATGGTTACTGACCAAGTGAAATCTAGTTTAGACTTCAGGTTGATGTAGAAGCAATTAAGAAAAGGAAAGCTGGGTTTTCTTTTTGTTTTAACTATAAATGAATAATAAAGTCCTGACCCTTATAGTTTGGGCTCAATGATACTATATGATAGTGTTTTGCCCATCAGAGAGAATCTGTCATTGTGCTGTCATACAAATTTTCAGAAGAATTCTCTATCCCTCAAACTCAACAGTGATTAACTTGGGATGCTAAGAATCAGTGTAGTTGTAATTATAAATTGTGTTTTTGTTAAATATAAGCAAAAAAAAGTGAAAGTTTTACTTTGTTTTCTTTGTTATTTACAATGAAATTTTTGTCCCTTTTTAAAATGAATTTGCTTTAAGTAGCCTGTTTCTGGTATCAGTTATCCTCAGGAATTGAGGATTTTCTATATGAATGTTTTCTGAAATGTATAAAATACTTAACAAATAGGAAATTATAGTAAAAACCATAAATGATAAGCATTTTATGAAATTGTGTATTTATTGGTAATTTCTTTTCTTAACATAATGGTCATTGGGGCTTCAGGCTTATCCCACAGATATAAGTTTTGGAAACCAGAACAGGCAAACACGTTACTTCAGGCAGGCTTAACACTTGAGGGTGGCCTTCTAAAAATATTTGGTGTAGATTCATTTAGTTTATATAGAATTGACTGACTTAGTTATTAGGTAATTTAGGTTAACCCAGCAGAACTCTCAACTGAAATTCGTTAATTAAGAAATATATCAATAAAATTAAATGTAACCATGTACTACAAAGAAATTGAAGAAAATTATATTTAAAGTATTTTTAAAATTCATAAACGTCAGGTAAAACTTGTTTCACCTTTAAAAAAAGAAACTATAGGGCCAGCCCCGTGGCTTAGCGGTTGAGTGCGCGTGCTCTGCTGCTGGCGGCCCGAGTTCGGATCCCGGGCGCGCACCGACGTACCGCTTCTCCGGCCATGCTGAGGCCGTGTCCCACGTGCAGCAGTTGGAGGGATGTGCAGCTGTGGCATGCAGCTATCTACTGGGGCTTTGGGGGGGAAAAATAAATAAATAAAATCTTAAAAAAAAAAAAAGAAACTGTAAATACTGCAGCATTCTTATCAGAAAAAGCAGCCCAGAAGCTCTTATGGGCTAGTTTTCTATTTTTGTCTAAAGAGAACTTTCCTTCTTTTTTCTCTTTTTCCCTTTCTCTTTTCCTCTCTCTTTCTTTCATCTCTACATATATTTACAAGTTAAATCATAGCATGTAAAGGTTAGAGGGAATTTTAGAGATAATGTAGTTATCTACCTTCTCTACTTCTTGGGTTCTTGAATTCCCTCGTTAGCCAGTGGATTTGATTATCCGTCATCTGCTTGGAACACCTTCAGTGAGTAGAAACTCACGCATGGTGAAACAGTCATTTCAATTGAACATTTTTGTTAGAAGTTCTTTCTTAGTGCTGAGCTGAAAAATTTCTGTTACTATGCATTAGTGCAGTGCATCTGATGTGATGTAGATTGTTCTAATCCTTCAACTTCACAGCCTAGATCGGTCAGGATAATCTTGATTTTCCTGCCGTAATAAACAATCTCCAAATCTCAGAAGTTTTTAAAAAAAAACCCAAATTTTATTTTTTATTTATACTAGATGATTATCTACATGTCCGTTGAGGGTTAGAAAGGGGCTCTTCTTATCATAGTTACTCAAGGACCCAGGCTGATGGGGAAGCCACCATCTCAGATGTGGTGGAGGAAAAGAGAGCTTGCAAGGTCTTGCATAGGCAGTAAATGTTCTGGTGCAGAAATGACACACATCATTTCCACTCATAATTCATTGGCCAGAACTAGTCCTGTGGCCCTAACCTAACACAGGGAGTGGGGAGGAGTAGGAAGTGCAGTTCTACCATGTGCCATAGTGGAGAGGACCAGGATTCTTTGTGAGTGGCACTAATGACTGGCACACAGTCTTTCAGGAATTTGGAGGTGTGTCATATCTTTGTATTCCTCTCTTGCCTGGGATAAAAATTCCTAATATTTCAACTCATTGTGGTATGATTTCTAATTCCTTAAGCCCACCCAGACACACTATAGTTTTTCCGTGTTGTTCCTGAAGGATATTGTCCAGAAGAGAACACAGTATTACTGTTAGAATCTGGCCAGGACAGCTAGAAGAAAATTTTTGTTCCTTTTGGCAGCCTAAAATCAGACAGTATTAAACCAATACTAACTGTTTTATAGATGTGGATTTAAATTGTATCCTGAATAGTTTTAAGTTCAAAGAGAAAGACAGCTGTGGTATACTTGAGAGCAGAGATTGAAGTTTTAAAACTTGGATTCAAGTCCTGGCTTTGAGGAGCTGTGTCACACAGGGCGTGCTGCTTAGTTGTCCTGAGGCTATTTTCTGATAGATATAACGTAACACTGTTGATGACAATGTGAGCAGAAGTATTTTCCTGGACTTTATGTCAAGTCGTATTAAGATACTAAGTGTTACTAAGCATTGTTTTGTTTCCTTCAGCCTAGGTTCACCATAGTTCATTAGGGACTCAAGTATTTAAGTTCATACGTGGATACATATGAAGTAGTGAACTTATATACCACAGTCCTCGTGGGTGTAAATCATCGTCACATACGTTTTTATACTATTGTTGAAAAAGTCAAACTGATTGCTGCCTCTCATTTGCAGGTAGGGTTCTTTCACAATCTACTCCCGGGACTCCATCAAAGACCATAACAATATCTGAAAGTGGTGTTATTGGATCAACTTTAAATTCTACAACACAGACACCAAATAAAATAGCCATCTCACCTTTGAAATCGCCAAATAAGGTAAAAAAAAAAATTAGCCACAAATGCCAAGTGTTGTGGTTAATGCCTTTATTTTCTTATTAGTCATTTCAGATACTTCAGTTTTCCTATATTTCCAAGCAAGTAATAGGCATTCAGTGAATACTGGATTAATTAGTAATGAAGGATATATAACAAATAAAAAACTTACTTTAAACACCTAGTAACATAGTAATCATTTTGCATGTTAAGATGAATTCCATGGCCCGTATGAATGTGGGTACAACAAAAATCTTTTGAATGAGGTACATTATGTGTTTAGTTCCTCTTCAGGTAATATCTGTGCAAAATTATGGTCTTTGGGTAAGTCACATATATAGTGACTATATAAATTAAAAATGTTAAATGTAACTTTTTTTTTTTTTTTTTAAGTAAAATACTCTGTGTCTTTTGTTTAAGCTATCCTATGCTTTATGGAGACCTCAGCTTTTGCTGGGTAACAGAGCACTCAGAGTACTAGAAATTGCCATCAAATGCTGGTAAACATATTGTCAGAGTTTTTTAAGCTTGAGTACAGTTCGTTCAAAGCATGTGAAAGTTTTTCATAATTGTTTTCATTTTAAGGTGGCGGAGTACCTATCATTTTACCCTTAGGTCAGGTAAGTTGTCTTAGCGCACTTTCCTAAAACGTACAGATATCATTGTACCAGCGTAACATTTTGGAAAAGGTATGTTTTAAAGGACACATTCAGGTGGAAATCCAAGTGTCATTATTATGTAAGGTGCCACCCTTGTGATTCTGGAAACATACTGCCCTTTGTACCCATCTTTTTCCTTAATTTGTTACTGTTCATAAGTAGAACAAACATTAAATGTTTGCCTTACATTTTTAACAAGCCTAGCTGTTGGTTTCTGTTTTAATGAGACTTGCATTTATTGTATAAATATGATGTCTCTTACAGTTTTTTAAAATGGGATTCTACCTATATAATAATGTAGATAATTATTTACTTAAATGGAATGAATTCAGCAGATATTTGAATGCTTACTATGTGTTATGCACAGTGATAGGCGTTGGTGATAAAAGCATGAATAAGTTTCTAATTTCAAGTAGTTCAACAGGGAAGTAGACGTAAACATTAAGAATTGCTGTACAGAATTATATCAGTCACGTGCATTGATGAGCTCTGCTGCGTGTGTCAGGGAAGGTTTATACAGAGGAGACTATTCTTGAAAAGTCTTAACCTTAAAGGTAGTTTGGGTCTTAGCTGTGGGTAAGTGGAAGGGGCTTTCTGGGTTGAGGTAATACTTTACACGAAAGTGTCAAAGTGTAGCCCTTTTAGGAAGCTACATTGCCTTGGTAGTATGAGAGCTGAGGGTGCTGGGGTTGGATGGAAGTTCTCATTACCTTCAAGGGAGTTGCGATTTTATTGTTCTTCTAGACTCTCTGTGGCTTCCCGTTGCTTCTGGGACGTGGTTCTCATTCTTGTCTGCACATTGGAATCACCTGGGGGAGCTTTAATAACCACCACTGCCTGGTTCTTATTCCCAGCGACTCTGTTTTAATTCGTCTGCAGTTTGGCCTGGTATCAGGATTTTTAGAAGCTCTCTAAGTGATTCTAATGGGTAGCCTAGATTGAAAACCACTGCTCCAGGATAATATGAGATTTGCATTTTAAAAAAGATGACTCTTGTGGCATTATGAAAGATAGTTTGGGGGAAGATAAGCCTGGATTCTGGGGGAGACCAGTTAGGTTAGTGATTCTCAACCTTGGCTGCACTTTAGAAGCACCTGGGGACTTTGGCTGCACTTTAGAAGCAAAAACTAATGACTGGGCCCTACCTGACCCCATTTAAATCACTGTATAGGCTGGGGCCTAGCTATTAGATTTAGTGCTTTAAAATTCTAAAGTTTAGGCCGGGGTAGAGAATCACCAGGTTACACTATTATAGTACTTCACGTTTGAGCTAGACTAGTAGCTAAGGGGCTAGGGAGGAAGAGATGTGTTGAAAGAGGTTTAAGACATAATGACTGGATGTCAGGGTCTTAGTAGGGGAGAATCTAGGATGACTCCCAGATTCCTGACTTGGATAACAGAGTAGGTGGTGGCACTGTGAATGAGTATGACTGGTTTATGGGCTGTATACCTGATGGCGTACAAATAAGAGCTAACTTTATTTTCTCTCATCCTGGACTTTAGCCATGCCATACTGGATCTTCCCTCTCTGCCTCTTGACAAGAGGTCATTTTTAACTATAAGAACAAGCCTTATTTTGGTGACTAAATTCACAAGTATAAAAGTCTAGTCAAAAGCTTACATCCAGTTGAAAGCTTCTCCCCTCAGCTCTGACCTAATCATAGCTCAGGGACCGTGTAGTGGAGAAGAGGAATGTGATCTGTTTCTTTACTCTCCTACCTCCTCTCCCTTTCTGTTTTTGGCTTCTGCTTGGAAGAAAGAGTAGAAGAAAAAGGACAAAGTTTTATATGACTGGGACTATTGTAATCCAGCTGCTGGTGCCCTCTGTGTAGCAGTTGTCCAAGCGTGGACTTGTAGAGCTGTGCATTTAGGATGGTTTTTGGAGGCCCCTTTGGATATGTCCACATTGCCTGGTTCCCTGTCATGGGTCTGGTGCACAGTCCAGCTACCTTTGGCAGTCTCTTCTTAGCTCTCTCTTGCTTCCTGTAGTCCACAGCTTCCTACAGCCGGTTACAGCAGAGTGCCCTTACTCCAGAAGGGACATGTCTTTGGCCCATTAAGATGCTTTAGCCCTTCTGCAGCATCTGCTTGACTGTAGAACCCAGTGATAGAAGTGCAGCTTGCCTGACTGCTGTGCTGTCCTCTGTGTCCTTGCTCTGCCCTTTTGACAGCTCCATCCAACTTCTTGCTTTCAGAATTTTCCAGGCTGGGACCAGTTTCTGTGTTCACGTATGCCCTGAACTCCTGGGGATATGTGTCAGGTTCTCTCAAGAACTCTCTCACTGCATTCAATTCTAGTGGCTAGACCAAGATGGGCTTAAGAGTTTCTTTATCTCAATATGTTGCCAGCCAAAGATTCAGGTGTCCGTTTTCCCTTCTTATTGTTATCACCCAGCCTATCCCAGAGGTTCTCATGGAGAACTCCTGCCTTTGTTCTCACTGAGGTATAAAGTCCTAGCATTTTCTATGTTTATGAATTCATTTCTATTGCAAATCTGTTTTGTTTCATTTTTCAGTAGGCAGGAGGTAGATAATAGGGATACTGTCTTTTAGAAAGCGTGGCATGGATGTCTTGTCCTTTTTATACTGAGATAGAGTTTATCATTTGTAGTTCTCAGCTTTGGGGGCCCTACTTCAGCCAAATTTTGAGATAGTAGAAAACATATATACTAGAGAGGGAATATAGAAGGAATAGCTAATTTGGGCAAAGAGATATTGTTTAGTTCTTGGAGATATTTGTCAAGAAGTACCCACTGATTATGTAGAGGAGGATGTCCATTAGGAGGCTGAATATAGGCAGTGGCTAAAACTATGCATACAGATAAAATCAACCAGGGAGCACTAGGTTGTGTGTAGAGTGAAAAAAAAGCAGGGCTGAACCACACAATATTGAGTTGGTAGAAGAAAAGGAGTCAATGGAAGAGAAGGAATGGTAAGAGAGGTAGTAGGAGAAACTAAAAAACATAGGAAAGGGAGATGATTTCAAGGATGATACTCAGGGGGCCGGCCCCATGACCGAGTGGTTAAAAGGTCTGTGTGCTCCACTTCGACGGCCCGGGTTTGCAAGTTTGGATCTCGGGCTCAGACCTACACCACTCATCAAGCTGTGCTGTGGCGGTGACCCACATTACAAAATAGAGGAAGATTGGCACAGATGTTAGCTCCGGCTTAATCTGCCTCAAGCAAAAAAAGAGAAAGATTGGCAACAGATGTTAGCTCAGGGCAACTCTTCCTCAAAAAAAAAAAAAAA